GTATGCCTTCCTGGCATTATTGGAGTAACTCATTTGATCTAACTCCTGGTGCTAATAAGCGGTTCTGACATTTCCCATCTAAGGACAAGAGAACGATTGTACTATATCCGTTTGTAAAGCACTTTTTATTGACTCAGGTTTTGCAAAGACTTTATCAAATTGTTTCTCAAACAATCCTATGAGGTTGTGATAAGTCCCACCAAGCCTTGGATTTATACACACCTACGGGAAGGCAAATGTTATAATTTGACATATTAACCTATGTATTTTGTTGCCCAGTACTTGCTGATAGTCCAGCCCTTTACCTAGTTTTAGCAGCAGCTGGGGTGTGCTATTGACTGCCTCAGGGAAAGGACAATGTAACAGAACACAGGTGTCAATGTTTGGCACAGGACTTTTGAAAGTCTAGGCATAGAGGAGACCTAGGTCGGAAGAGACGAGGAAGAGCAAAGTTGTCCCACTTCTTCCCCCACTGGGTCCACCGGCTACGAAGGAGGGATGGTGAAGTTCAAGAGAACAAGAGAGCTTAAATGTTAACACAGGAGTTTCCTAGATAATGTGGCTCTGCACCCCATATCTCAGAGAGGTTTGAGGGATCTGAGAGAACAGAAAACCCATGCTTCACTTCATGGATAAAAACAGGGCAAGCCTCATATGATATGGGAAGAGTGAGACTATTTCCAATGAGCACAAAAGTAATGATGACAAGGAAAGAAAGGTAATCAGATGTGATTAGTCCTTAAGCTCACTCTTTCTTCTGCCAACTCGAAGCTGCTGTAAATTTTAGTTCTAGAATTTCCATTCAGTTCTTTTTTATAGTTTCTATTTCTATTCTAAGATTCTGTACCTACCCACTCACAATTACCCTTATTTTTTTAGCCTGTCTCAAAATTGGCTTTTATTGACTGTATTTGGGTTTTGTTTTTGTTTGTTTTTTTTTTTGACTTTTTGTTCCCACCTTTATGAGAGAGGGACTTCCTGGCAATGGTAGTATCAGAATTGGGTTAAGGGATGACAAAAATCTAATGTCAAAGCAGTCACTTGAAGTAGGGCAGGGCAAAATCTCGTTAGAAATGGTGCAAAATATGTGATTATTTCCAATCTTCAAATAAGAAGGACAGTTGCAAAACGCTTATGAAAAATATAAGGATATATCTCCAATCTTCTTCAGTCTCAAATAACTGGCAAGACCTGCCTGCTTGTTAAATAGTAGAACTGGAAGAGGATTTAAAACATTAGCATTTAACTCCCTGCTTTCTGCCAAGTAGAAAAGACATTCTCCTCCAATGATTAATTTTTTCTAAACAAAAAGCAGCTTCCTTGAATTTCCTAATATAAAGGTAATACATATTTATAGAAAAATCAGTCCAAACAGGCATAAAGAAGAAAGTCCAACCGAGAGAAATTACTACTAACATTTTGCTGAACATCCTTCTAGATGCTGCTTTATGGAAATATTTATGCATATAATTTTATATGAATAAAATAATATATGTGCTTTTAACTCAATATGTGGTAAAGATCATTATCAAGAAATATAGATACACGTCATCCTTTTTAATGACTATATATTCTCTCGCATGGGTACACCAAAATTTATTAAACCAGTCCTCTATGGAAGGACATTTAGTTCTAGATTCTTGCAATAATGAACATTCTTCCTGCTGTGTGTGTGTGTGTGACAACTTTGTATATTTGTTAGATTATGTCTCCTTGAGGCAGTACATTTCTATAACATTATTTCTGGGCCGAAGCATATTCAAAGTTTGTGATAATTAATAAACCATTCTCACCAGGAAGGTTGTACCCACACTCACACTTCCACCAACAACAAACCCTTTTCTCCCTCTGTTTGGTCATACTGGATATGTGTAATCTTTTCAAACTTTATCAATATGTCAGGCAAAAAGTAACATCTAAATTGTGTTGAGTGATTTGCCAGTGAGCTCTAATGCAGGATTGAGGATGGGTATTGTGCCCAGGGCTCCTTTCTGGCTTTAAATGGACAGTGTGTGCAATATGCTGTAATGTAAATGAGATGGTCGGGCTTCCATACTCCTAGCTTTGCACTAACTTTGTATATCCTTGGGTAAGATACTCAACTTTACTGTGCGTCAGTTTCTTCAACTGCAAATGAAGGACTTGGAATGGGTGTTCTTGCACTTCCTGGCTGTAAGAAGGGGATAGTGGCAAACCCACTGTGCAGATCTGCAGCAGACACTTTCGGCTGACTAACCCAATGCCACTCCGAGCCCCTTCTCCCCTGCCTGCCTCTACTCTGGAAGAAGCCGGAAATGTTCAATACCCCCTTTTTCTCAGCCTCCTTTGGAGCTAAGGAGTGGCCATTTTACCATAATTATGGCTAATGAGATATGAAGGGAAGGCTATCGGGGTGCTTCCGGAAAACGAGCTTTTCTGAAGAAAGAAACAGGCACGAGAGAGAGCAAGCTCACAGAGGCTGCCTCTTTCTCACCATCTGCTTTCAGTGCAGACTTAATGCCTGGACCTGTGGGGCAGTGTGGTAGCTCTATACTGAGTCGACTCAGCTGAGCAGGATCTGTTCTTCAGAATCCTGCATGGTTTCAAGGTTAGCATTAGCCACAAGACAAGTGTTGCGTGAGATTGAGAAGACAGCAGTGAAGCAGCATCTATGGTTTTCATGCTCTGAAGGACAAGGCAGGGCTCCAGGCACGGTGATAACTCCAGTACATTGTCCCTGATCTGCTGGCTCACCTTGCAGGTATGAGGCGGCACACAGACTCCAGCTGCCATCAGATCTCCTCCTTCAGCTTCTCTGCATCCTAAGCCAAGTGCATGTGCAGCCCCATGAAGGGTGCCAGCTTCTCCCACAGTATACTTGCATTATCAAGGTCAGAGGTGGTGAGAGACACACACAAATCCAGCCTGTCTTTGAAGATTCTAGTTGTTTGTGAATTCCAGTTTATCCCTATAGGCTGCAAGCTGTACTTGCTTTTATCCACAACCAGCTTTCTACCCCGACTACCATTCTGTCTGACCTATGGTGACTTCAGGTTCAATCAACACTAGAACCAAACACAGCAAACAGCTTTGCATGGACTTCTCCAGGAGCTCCCACAATCGCGTAGGGTCTAATGCATCACTCTCCAATAGAACTTCTGTGATGATCGAAGTGTTTTGTATATGAGCTGCCCAATATGATAGTCACTAATCACATGCCTGAGGCTACTGAGCACTTGAAATGTACCTAGTGCAAATGAGAAACTACATTTTTACTTAAATTTAACTCATTTAACTTTAAATTGCCACATGTGGCTAGTGGCTACCGTACTGAACAGCGCAGGTCTAGTGCCTAATAATAAATCTCTCATTCTTCACCACTTACAGTGGTTCTGTTTCTCAGGTTGCATCCTGACTGATATAGGCAGCAGCTGGTGACTATATGGGGGAAAAACATGTAAACAGAAAACCAGCATGCTAGGATTGAAGGGCTGGAGAACAGAAAGAGACTGGGTCCTGGGAGGCTCACCTGCCTGTGACTGCTGAAATTCTTATTTGAGAAAAATAGACTCCATTTGAACTTGCCTTGTTGGGAGCCCCATCTCCATTCCAATCCCAAGGCCAGAATTATCAAGGTGAGCTAAAATATTCATGGAGAGCAAGCAGGCTGTGGTAAGATGTGTTCGCCGGCAGATAATTTTTTCTTTATTCCACCATGATGACTTTTACCCCTTGCCTGTTCCCTATGCAGATCCTTCCAGTCTCCCAGTCCTTCCTCCTTCCCCAAGTGAATGTGACCTTCCTTACAGAATATAATTACCCCTTTTTGTCTGTCAAACTGGATTTTATTTGTTTAAACAGTTTTAAACACAGCCCATTTTCAGGAGTCTGCAGTTGTGACAATTGGTGTGGTAGACAATAATTTTGTCAGCTCTAGTTTCTAAAACTGGCCACTTACTAATAAGCTTTACCAGGAATGGGTCTTTCCAGATGTGCTCTGCACGGTTATCGTGAAAAAATTAATCCTGAACAAGATTTTCTTTCAAGGCTGTGCTTGACTAGAGAACAATGTGCAGAGATTTCAAGCTGTGTTCACAAACACAATTCTACACACAAGGAACATTTCTTTCTTTTTCTTTTCTTTTCTTTCTTTCTTTTCTTGCTTGCTTAAACAAGTGGTGATCCGTTAGGGTGTTGACAGGAAAAGGCGAAATGCTGGCAACTGAATGAAAGCCAACAGTGCAACAGATAGCTCAGCGGTGCGCGCGGTTTGGTTCTTTGGAAAACCAGGCGAGCTTTTCACTTCCTCCTAATTTTGGTCCCGCCCTCTTAGTTTATATTCCTGAGAATGTCAAAACAAAAAGAAAAAGAAGATATTGGTCCTACTGCAAGAGGTCTTTGGTGCCTGTTGTTCCCTTCTTGTACACATCTCCCGGGACTGGGTCCTTCTAACTTCTCTATTGTGTGGTGAGTCACTTTGCTTTGCCGTTGTTGCCTTGGGTGAATTCTGCGCACACCGCACAAGTGCCGCGCACTCCCTCCCGGCCCTCTGCTGGGGCTAAACGCTTCCTAGCCAAGGTCAGCGGCCGTGAGGCTTCCAGCACCCAACCCCGAGGGAACGGAACGGGGGGACACCGCGCCCCCGCCCCCCCTGTCCCGGCTGAGGGACTCGCAGTGCCCCCACGGGGTGTGGCGCGCGTTCCAGCTGTAGGGTAGCTGGCGGGCGCTAGCCTCGGGCGCCGTGACCCCGCGTCTGAGTCCGTCCCCAGGAGGGTGCGGAAGCGGTGGCGGCTGCCGCTGGGCGCGGGCTCCAGGCTGAGGTGGGCGCGGATCGGCAGAGGAGCCTCGAGCGCCGCCCGGATGCTGCAGCCTAGCGGTGGCCTCTCCGAGAGCAACGCGAGCCCTGGGGCCGAGTCCGCCCTGGGCGAGCTGGGGGCCGGAAGGGGGCTCTGGACTTGGGTCCCTCCCCCTTTCCTTCAGCTTCTCGGAGCACTGCTGCTCTCAGACCCTCGTCCTCCCAGGTACGAGGCGGGAGAGGAGGGCTCATCTCTCCTCCCGGCACTCCGCCATGGGCAATATCTCCAATGACTCCTTGCCGAACGACTGCAGGTCTCTGGAGTGGCTCCGCTCCGGCGAAAGCCCGGCCATCAGCTCGGTGATGTTCTCGGCCGGGGTGCTGGGGAACCTCATCGCGCTGGCGCTGCTGGCGCGCCGCTGGCTGGGGGACGCGGGACGCAGCGCAGGACGCGGCAACTCTATCTCCCTGTTCCACGTGCTGGTGACAGAGCTGGTGTTCACCGACCTGCTTGGGACCTGCCTCATCAGCCCGGTGGTGCTGGCTTCCTACGCTCGGAACCAGACCCTGGTGGCACTGGCGCCTAAGCGCCGCGCGTGCACCTACTTCGCCTTCGCCATGACCTTCTTCAGCCTGGCCACGATGCTCATGCTCTTCGCCATGGCCCTGGAGCGCTACCTAGCCATCGGGCACCCCTACTTCTACCAGCGCTGGGTTACGCGCCGAGGCGGCCTGGCTGTGCTGCCCGCCATCTACACGGTCTCTCTGCTCTTTTGCTCCCTGCCGTTGCTGGACTCCAAGCAGTACGTGCAGTACTGCCCCGGGACGTGGTGCTTCATCCAGCCCGAGGAGACCACGTACCTGCAGCTGTACGCCACCGTGCTACTGCTCCTCATCGTCGCGGTGCTCGCCTGCAACTTCAGTGTCATCCTCAACCTCATCCGCATGCACCGTCGGAGCAGGAGAAGTCGCTGCGGACCCTCCTTGGGCAGCTGCCGGGATGGCCCTGGGACCCGCAGGAGAGGGGAAAGGGTGTCCATGGCGGAGGAGACGGACCACCTCATTCTCCTGGCCATTATGACCATCACCTTTGCGGTCTGCTCCTTGCCTTTCACGGTGAGTTAAGTCACTTCGTTTCCACAGCCCAGCGCCGAGCAGTTTTCTCACTCTCCCCCTCTCACCCCCACACTGTCCACCGCCATACCTTTGCGACTTCTAAAAATAGCTTCTGATTCTTGAGGTCTGGAGCCTTCTCTTCTCGCTTCTCACCTTCACCCCACTTCCTTCCTTCCCTAACCCTGGCCTTTGGCAGCTCTATGCCAGTGTTTCTCACACCTAATACAGTCCCCCTGAAAGGGATCCTTGGCTCACCACTAAGCGGCCCAGACCCCCAGCCTAGAGTTAAAAGGGAGGATATGTCCCTGTCCGCCTCTGCCAGCCTGGCTTCGCGCGTGAGGAGGAGGCAGCCCCTTCCACCTGTGGGTGGGTATCAGCTACAACCGGACTTCCCCGAGGGGCAGTTCGCCTCTAGGTATTCCCCACTCACTGGTGCGAGTTCTCCATGCTTTGCCTTCTGTTTCTCCCAACACAAAATGTGGTACCCAACACCCAGCATTCTAGCTGCCATTGAGAATGGTCCCAGGTGAGAAGCGTCCCTGTTGGTAAGCTCAGAGCATTCATTACTTGTCCTAAAAGTTCAACAAACACAGACTTTACAAGTTTCCCAATTTACATATTAGGAGCGTAACTCTTTGTGGCCATGAAAAAAAATGTGGACATTATATTATGTCCATAATGATAATTACAGGGAAAGATGGTTGCTTGGGGAAACCTCTTGCTAAGCTTTTGCAATCCCTCTAAAGGAGGCATTTGTATCTTCTTACAAAATATCCTCTTCATATCACTATCAGAAATATCTACAGGTGTTCTTCAGCTTATAGTCAGGCATTTGTTGAGCACAAAGCCACATGCAGGAATGGCTGGTCCATCTCAGGGGTGGGAGTTAGGCACGTCCAGCTGGTTCCATGACCCAGCAAGCCAGAGGCTGACCCGGGAAACTGAAGACAGGAGCCCAGGTTTGGGAATGGCATGCTGTCCTAGTTTGGGGCAAGCTTAGCCATTAGTTCCGTGATGCTGTGAGTTTGAGCCTCCCCAGGCGTAACACAGGTAGCAGAGCCCGGGATGTGTCTGAGCATGGCCTCTTACCAGAAGCTGGGGCCGAGGAGTTTTGGTAGCCCCGCTTCCCACTCTTCAAAAGAACAAGACTGACCCTACAGGGAGTAAGCAGTCGGCAGTGACCCCCGCCTGCCACAGTCTTGGAGAAAAGAAAGAGCTAGACAGTGCCTACCATTAGCAGGTCTGAGCTGTAGGAACTAAAGCAGTAACTTTATCTTACTTCCCGCCTCCATCACTGCTGTGGATTATCTTCATATGCTCCTCCTTCGGGGTGGGAAAGGACACCCGTCCTCCTACATGAACTGATTCACAGCTATGTTCTCTTCTCCCTGGTCCCCATTGTCCTCACGCTCCTACCCCATTCTCCGTCAGGGCAGAAGCTAGTCTGAATCCATAAGTGATGGGAAGGTACCCCCTTATGAACCGAGGTAGCACTGCGGGACCCTGCCTCTTCCATTCCACCCTGAACCGGGGAGTTTGTACAGCAGAAAGGCTGTGATGTAGAAACTGGCACGGCTTCTACGCCTTTCTTTTGTGTTACTAGTAGAAACTTTTGATGTCATGTTAGGAGTTAAATCAACTTTTTTTGGGTCGGGATGAAGATGCAGAACACGAATCTATAAGAGAAAAAGCATTTCCAGTTCCACTAAACAACTTAGAATCCAACTTAGAGGCCATAAACCTTTTCTGGGTTGGGCAGTGCCGGTCTTGGCCTGGTGAGAATTGGGAGGTCAGTTCTTGGAGGCTCATCTGTGATTTTTGAGTGTATAATTAAAAATAGCCCCTACCCCCAGCCACTTAAATGGCTTGGGAATGGGCTCCAAGGGGACCACATGCTTGTGAACAGGATTTTTATTCCCTAAACCCTTTAGAGGAAGACAACAGGAGGAAAAGGTCTCTCCTCTGATCATGACTAACCCATTGCATAAATATATTATAAAACATAAAGGCAGTGATTTTCAACAGGTTCCTCTGTTTTCAAGTCAATTTGCCTTTTATCATGAGAACTCAATCATTGCTATATGTTGATTTTCAAGTCTCCCTGTCTAAACACACACACACACACACACACACACAGTTTTATGAATATTTATCTTCCCCCTTTATTTACTATTAAGCCAGGGGCAGCTCCAGAGTTGCCAAATGGAAGGGGCTTAGAGTTAGAAGTCTGGTTAGAAGGAGTAGAGGAGCAGGAGCCTTGCTTTGAAGCTGTGTTTTTATTTAGATTGCCTGCTTATGGCTTGAGGACGCCAGATGAAGATTATGAGGGCCCTTTATGATAGAGGCATTGACACTATCAGCAAATATTATCCGGGTTTGCTTCTGCATGGATTCATGGCCAAGATTCCCAAAGAGTAGGGGAAACTTAGGGCAAACATAATCAGAAAGCCAGACACGCTGATCCTTGCCTTGGGGCTAACATGACATGTTATCCAGATGAAGAATGGGTAACTCACGAGGCCCCAAATCAATATTTGAACTGTACCTTGAATGGGGAGTATCAAGTTGTCTTTTAGTAAGGAAATTTACTTTGACCATTGACTAATTTTACTTTGTCAATAGATTATTGATACTTGTTAGAAACTGTCATTTGCACAGCACTTTAAACCTTATGAAATGCTGTAGTATCCTGATTTTGGTTATCTCGTGGAGGGCTTACCTGATGATTCCAAAGTTGCAGCTACTGTTTGGTGCATACATTCTGCTATTTCAGAATGCTTGCCATGGGCCCTGGGAGGGGGAACACTTTCCCCTCAATGTCCTTTTCATCTACTTGGCCCACACTAAAACTGTGGTCAGAAATGGCCTTCACCAATCTCCCACACAAGGCAGGTATCTTTTCCACAAATCCTAACTGGGACACTGTTATTCAAGGCAAAGACTTGTGGTGGCCTTCAGAAATTCTCCTGTTCCTCCAACAGAACATACGCAGTCCAATAGAAGTACATTGAGCCACATATGGAATTTTAAATGTTTTATTAGCCAAATAACAAAAAGTAAAAAGAAATGGTAAAAATTAATCAATAATTTTATTTAACCCAATATATCCAAAATATTTTCACTTCAAAATGTAATCAATGTAAAGTGATTATTAATGAGCTATTCCAGCTAATTGACTTCCTTATTCCCAGAAAGTACTAGCAATCTACTCTCTCTCTCTGTCTGTTTCTGCCTCAGGATAACAGAGCTGCTTTCTATGTCCCTCAAAAATGGGCCACACCACTGGCCCAGTAAAGAGATTTCACAGCTGTGTACCCAATGGGGCACCAGCCTTTTCCATCGATCCAGGAGTGAGGGGAGGGGAGTGGGGAATTTAGGAAACCTGGAACCATTCATGTCAGCATTGTCCCAAGGTGGGGGCAGGTTAGAATTACTGCTTCCTCCAAGAACACCAGTCTTCCACACATCCTAACTGGGACTTCCAATGTTTGGAAGTGATAACTATGGAAATGTAAAATACCCAGCACCCTGTAATGAAGTCAAGTTCAACCTTCAAATATCATTATTATCAACATCAAAATGGCTAACTTTTTGACTGTTAATTTTTACATACACTAACCCATTATCTTCACAACAACCTGCAAAATAGATAGTATTATTGTTTCTGTTTTACGGATGAGGCAAATAACACCCTGGGTCCCCCAGCTAGTGAGTGTTAGAGCTGGGATTCAAAGCCAGACAATTTAAAAATGAACAGAGTCTATCCTCTTAACCACAGTACTATCAGAGAGAAAGTACTTCTTTCAGGGGTAACGTGTGAAAAGATTTCATAAAGGAATGGTGAAGATGTTATAAGTATCTAGATCACTTTGTCTCAATTCCAACTTGTTAGCTTTTTTTTAAGATTTTATTTGTTTATTTATTTATTTGAGGGAGAGAGAGAGAGAAAGAGAGAGAGAGAGCACTCACACCCCAGTTGGGGTGGGGAGGGAGGAACAGAGGGGGAAAGAATCCCAAGCGGCCTCAATGTTAAGTATGGGATGAGGGGGCTCGATCCCACAGCCCTAAGATCATGACCTGAGCCAAAACCAAGAATCAGCACTCAACTGACTGAGCCACCCAGGTGCCCTCCCAACTTGTTCACTTTAAAAATAAAATGGCAAAGACCTTTTTTTCCATGCCCATCAAGGGGCCTGAGCTGGGGCCAAGTGTGCGGTTCCTTTCTTTCTTCTCCACAGTCCTGTGAATTGAAAGGCTGAACTGAGATTTAAGGAGATTGGCTAATATAAATACTGGTCTAAATTAAGAAATAATCAGATTACCCCTCACATAAAATCTTTTGTTGGTACACATAAAACATTTCTTATGTGATAAAAAAAAAAACAAACAAACTCTGTTGTCGTTAGGAAATGGCATTAATTTGGCTGCCCAATGTGAAATCATCCGTGGGACCAACAACATATTCCAAACTGTTTATGTACTAAAGGGATAGTGTATAAATTAATGAATTCCTCCGTATGTTGATCAGCTGTTGCCACCATTTCACAGAGATAAATAGAAACTTTTTTTCTGAAATGGAACAGAACACAGAAATTATATCAGACCTCCATTCTTGCCTCAGATACTGTTTGTGTTTTAATTTCCAACCCACGTCAGGTTACTTGCTCACTACTTTGCCAATAGCTGTGGACAGCTGCTGGTCATTTTAAACTGCTTTCTACTTGCCATTAGAATATTTTATTCAGTTCTAAAATTTCAAAAGTGAACCATTGGCTCATTCTAAAACTGTCTTCATCTTTAGAAATTCTTTAGGGTTGTAATTTTTAGGCAAACCCGATTAGTGGAAATATGATCTTCAAAATACAGAACAAACTCAAGTAAACAGTACTGGAGTTTCCTGTTCATTCCTGGAACTCTTCATGTAAAATGTAACATGAATGGGGGTTGTAAAACTTTTATGAAATTTGTTGATTATGTACATGGAAAATACCACAGTTCTA